TGCAAATTAATCTATTCTATATAACTCACCTTACACAGAAGAGTTGTTGGTAATTGCTTTAAAACACAAAATAAATTTAAATCATTTTGTTTAGCTTATTCTGATCATCCGGTTCTAATGTTTAGGTTCTTATATATTGAAAAAATAAGAATTAATATATATTTTTCCTAAAACAGTATCTGCCATCTTATTAGATTTTTATTAGCATCGTAAATTAGAAGATTTCTCTAAGGATAAAGCACTTCTATAAACAGTATCAGACTGAAATTCTCACCATGCAAAAATTAAAATAATATCATATAAATACAAAGTTTTATGTAGAATTCAATATTAGACATTGATATTAAGGCTGTCAATAAATACTCAAAGAAGGATTCTTTTGACTTGATTTTTCTTTCACTCCAATAAATTCTATTTACTTTTTCTTACAAGTAAAAGTAAAGAATTTCATGAAAGTTTTTCTGAGTCAAAATGGAAGTGTTCAGCCATTTTATGTTCTAATTTTTTAAAAAAAGATATGAAGAAATATTGGTAAAGCTTAAAATATTTTTTACCACTGACAAAAATTAAAAATTGGTGATTGTCATATTGCTACTAATCTTATGCTTTCAGATGAATGCACTTATATTCTTACTGGCAAGGTGAAATCTTACATGACATATAGGTGGCTCGGTATGTAATGGAGTGGTTTATGTTGGATTACCACTGGGTTCTGTTATGTGGGTCCTCTGATTCAGTTGCTTTAATGCCATCCAGATAGTAATTTAAAATGTTCCTTCTTATTTGTAATGCTTTTATGTAAAATATATAAACATGTATTTATAGTGTTATTGAAGTATATAGAATGAACAATAAGAATAAATAATATGTTTTCATTATACTGAATTCAGTGTCTATCTATGGAAATTTTTTAAACATCATTGATAGTATATCAGGACCATTATCCTTTTGTTAGTTTTGGAGAATTCAATTTTTGCAAGACAAATCCCATTATAGATAAACCTGTCAACAAAACATAATATAGAGAGGAAGTAATAATTTCACTATAAGAATTTACATTTTAAAGTAATAAAATTCAATTCTAACACTTTAATGCAAGACATAGAGCCATAGGATGGGATAGATACAGTGAAGAATACATTATTCTTGGTAAGAGTAAAAGATTATATTGTAAAGTATATAAATAAATATTCTGTTATTGCTTTCAAAGCCAAAGTCAGATATGAGGAGAAGGAAGTAGTAATTCATAGGGACAGTCTAGAAATACTCTTTCTGAACCTAGCTCTGCCAACCTAAACAGGATAACAACAGATAGGGTTCAACCTTTCTAGGTTGCAGTTATGTTGTGTTAAAGAGAGAAAATTGAACCTTAGTGATCTCTTATGTGATTTGCAGAAAGTTCTAAATTTCTCTCATTAAGTGAGGAGCCATAGTAAATCTACAAAATATGTCTATCTATTGCTATTCGCATACAGCTCTTTCCTTCAAGTTGTTAAAAGAATTTTGGAATTTTAAAAGAGATTCCCTCTGTGTTTGGTAATTTTTGGTCTTTTTGCTAAGAACCAGATTAATTTTAAAGTACAGAATGTTGCTTTAAAGGAATGGTTAAAGCATATCATACTGGAGCTCTTCAAATGATCTGGACCACTGAGCTTGCTTGTTTTTTATTTTGTGATATTTTAAATTTCAGAAAAATAAAATCAACAAGAATAAGTCTTTTGAACTGAGTAAAATATGACTTTTTTTAAACAATTTTGCTAGAATTATTTTTGAAGGATCAACTCTAAAAATGTTTGATTCAGGGCTTCAAAACCAGTTCTTCCCAGTTCAGTCATGGCTGAAGAAGTGAAAACTGGAACAGATTTGAAATTTTTAGATTTGGGTGAAGATAACCATAATGGGATAAAATATGGATTAAAGCCCTGCTAGACGTTTAATCTCCCTCTTAAAAGAAAGGGTAGCATAAACATTACATAGCAAACAAATTGCTTGCCAGTCGGAGTTTGAGCAGAGTCAGAAACAACAATGCCCTGCTCAAAGATGGCAGCTGACCCGGCACTTGGAATGTGTCCTGCTCTCCACAATCTTGCCAATAACACAATTTCATGCATGAGGCCCCTGAAAGGGCTCATGTAAGGAAGTTCTTTTGAGTCTCCCATTCCAGGGCTTTGACCCATAATTTTTCCCATTTTGGTTATCATTCCAGAACACTTAATTTTTTACAATTTGCATCTCTTCCAGTTTTGCTTAGTTGGCCATGACTAAACTGATTTAACCCAGTTTGAATCCCTGTTTGATTGCATAAAATGCCAAAGAAAATCTGATATCGACAGTGGTATTTCTTTTCCCTTACATCTTCTTAATACAGAATAATAATACAGTTTAGCAGGGGATTTTTTTTTTCCTTCACATTTAGACAAATTTTAAATAAGAGCACCAGAAATAACCATACTGATAAGTATTGTTTACAAAAGATAAAAAGCATTTGTTCAGGTACAATGGAGTAGAAAAATTTTATAAGGGAAATAGAAGATATGTAAGGGAAAAGACATACTCATGAAAACCTCCAACTTGTGCTTTTCTCTCAAAACATAACTAAAGATTATACTTATGATGTTACTGACAAATTTTAAAATTACCTTAGAAACAAGTGTGTTCTAGCACATAAAAACATACATATGTAATATTGAAATACACTTGTGGAAACAGTCATGGCTTATCCTCAAATTTGCACTCTTCTTGGTTTGTCTGATAATGTTAAAATAAATGGTATTTGTTTGAAATGTACTAACTGTAGAAATGCTTATTAAAGATTCATTTTATTAGCATGTGGTAAGGGGGTTTCTTATTTTCTGACTAACATTCAGTATTTTTAATTACGATAAACCATGTAACACAGACTCATGGATTTTGGGGCAGTGGAAATTATTTCCTTTGACTCTTTTTTCTGCATATCATCAATTTGCTTTTTACTCATGTTTCTTCTACTGTCGCTGTAAGCTTACTTGTTGTTTTTTCTTTCCTTTTCTTCATGCTGTCGTTTAGAGCCCTACAGAGAGACAAGTATGGGAGTAAAGCTAAACATTGCATATCAAATGTAATTTTTTTTAGTTCACTTTTATTGCATCACATATAGATGATGTAGTTATTAAAAACAGTTCATCTCACAATTTTAAAACTAAAGAGCCTATGAATCAACTTATATAAACTTATATAAATATGTTAATAGAGATTAGACGCTTTTGTTGTCTGATTCTTTTATTGTCACATGATTGTTAAGTCTCATGTAATTGTTTCTGTGAGTTAAATTGTTTTTAAATTGAGCATTTATTTTTGCTAAGTAATTCATAAACTTTTACGTTTTATTAGTACATTCCATCATAAAAATATGTGTCACATGCAACATATTTGTATTTTGTACTATGGCGATTTTCAGCCTGCACCCAATGCATTGATAACACAAGTAATAAACATGTTTCAATGCATCAGTCACCAACCACAACCATCATGCCTACCATAGCAGCCTCTGCAGCAGCAATCACCCATCACATATGGCCCTTTAAAAAGCATTTACTTTTATTTTTTTCTTAACATTGTGGATTTGTCTACAAGATATCTTATAACATGAAAATAAATGGCTTCACCCTATGTCTGTGATGGCTACTTTTTAATGTGTTTTCACACACTATTTTTGAAAACTATTGAACTTAACTACAGAGTATACATCAGAAGTCTACAAAATTTGGCATATTTGAGACATTTTATTCAAACCAGCAATGAACTAGTTCCTTTTAGTCAACATAACTGCATCATCACAGATATAGAATGAGTGCTGTATTTTCACAAGTTAGTGGTGTATTGAGAAGTTTCATTAGAATTCTTAAAATTATTTTTCCTGTAAAGAAGTACATTTTCTTATTTACCAGTATTGGTTGAATGTTTGTGTTTCTTTTTCTTTTGTGATTGCATTTGAAATGATTTATGGAACAATTATAGATTATTGGTTCTGTTCCTTCCAGGAAATGCAAAAACCTTGAAGAAGCATGTGATCAAATTTATTTCACTGCAGCTATTTCTTCCCACAATGAATTGTTTATCTTCTTTTGCAATCCAAAGTTTAATATGCACACAAAATAATCACTCATATTATGAAATGGTACCTTTAATATTGACACTGTGTTTTCAGTACTCAGATCCTTGTATCTTTTCACATACTTTTGTAGTTTTACCTAATGACCCTAAACAATGACTAAAGGATTAATACATAAAAATAACCAAATTGCCTAGAGTAGGAAAAAAAATAGAAATTAAATTCAAATATTTTTGTTTTGCAAGTCCTATGTGTAAATAATTTTTTGATGTGCCATATATTTGACTAATCATTATTTCATGACTACATCATTCTGACAAATTTAACATAATCCTTTTGTGGTTATTTCTCTAAGTTTTATTTTCAGTCTTGTAAAATTATATATGAAATTATTAATAATATCTTGATTCTTTTGCTTTTTACCAATATATTCAAAATACCACAATGAATTATGTTAATATTATAACTATTGCAATGTTAAGACAACATAACAATTAAAGGTAATAAATAATTTAATTGACATTGATGTGTATAAATTGAAAGCTATAAATGAGGACACCAAAATTTTGCATTGTTTTTTTCTAAGTTATAACCCAAATGCTTCAAATAATATCAGGCAGTGTTTGTGTGGAAATTGCAAACTTATAATTTAAAGTGTCATTTTTTTAAAAATTTTTTTGAAGGATTTAATTTAAATATTTCTTTGCCACTTAGAAAATTTCTATCAATTGTCCAAGAATGTATATATTTAATAGTATTTTTTCTTACTTTTCATACTCTTTATACTGAAGTAAAAATGCTAGCAATTTATACATATTTCATACTCGATTAATATTTTTAGCTTGTGTTTGTGTGTGTATTCTATGGCCTACTGGATATAAATATCATAGTGTTTTGTAATCTTTTTCAGAGGGGCTTCTGAACAATGCCAGGGATACAAGTGTCATGGATACTCTACCACTGAATGGTAACCATGGCAATAGTTACAGCATTGCCAGCAGCGAATACCTGAGCAACTGTGTGCAAATCATAGACCGTGGCTATAACCATAACGAGACCGCCCTAGAAAAAAAAATTCTGAAGGAACTCACTTCCAATTATATCCCTTCTTACCTGAACAACCATGAGCGCCCCAGCGACCAGAACAGGAATCTCATGAACAAGCTGGTGAATAACCTGGGCCGTGGCAGTGAAGATGACACCATTGTCCTGGATGACGCCACATCCTTTAACCACGAGGAGGGTTTGGGCCTGGAACTCATTCATGAGGAATCTGATGCGCCTTTGCTGCCCCCAAGAGTTTACTCCACAGAGAACCACCAGCCACACCATTATACCAGAAGGCGGATCCCCCAAGACCACAGTGAGAGCTTTTTCCCTTTGCTAACCAACGAGCACACAGAAGATCTCCAGTCACCCCATAGGGACTCTCTCTACACCAGCATGCCGGCACTGGCTGGTGTGTCTACAGCAGAGAGTGTTACCACCAGCACCCAGACCGAACCCCCATCGGCCAAAAGTGGTGATGCCGAAGATGTTTACTACAAAAGCATGCCAAATCTAGGCTCCAGAAACCACGTCCATCAGCTGCATACTTATTACCAGCTAGGTCGAGGCAGCAGTGATGGATTTATAGTTCCTCCAAACAAAGATGGGACCCCTCCAGAGGGAAGTTCAAGAGGACCTGCCCATTTGGTCACTAGTCTATAGAAGATTACACAGAAATGTAAATCTACAAAAACCATTAACATCTGGTTAACTGTTCTTTGAGATCAGCAGTGGTAATAATGTGTATACTCCTAAATCGTTATGCTGTTCTCAAAACAAAAACACGAACTCTCAGACTTTTTCTTTTTCTTTTTTTTGTTAAACTGGGATTTTTAGGCCAGCCCAGGGGAGAAGAATAACTGCTGAAATTCTCCTGTGCCCTATCTTTTCCTGTTCTTTCCCCCTCAGATGGAGACTTCATTATGTTAATGAACGAGATATGAAGAAAATGGCGCTCATTGTGGCCTTGTTGAATTATGTTTGTTTTAACATCTCTGATGCTCTGTTACTATAATCACAAGGACCTAATTTCAAAAAGGCCAGAACAGTTGTTTGAAATTAGTAACAATGCTGCATCTAGATTGGAGTGCTGCACAAACAAACAAAAGCAAAACAAACTGTATCACATAGCAGTTTTTGGTCACTCGCAACCTGAATTCATCACAGCCGAGAAAACAAAATAAAACAGCAAAATTAATAATGAAATGGAGGGGAAATCTAGAATTATATGCTAAATGCATATTTTATGATTTGCTGTATTAACTGATGATAAAACTAATGGCAGAAAAATTGAACAATTTCTATGTAATGTACAGATACTAGCATTGCACATATAGTATGCTTTCTGTTCCTCCAGAATTTGAGTCCTGTTAATGTAGTGGAAAAAAAAAAAAAAAAGATTTTATTTTTTTCTTTTGTGCTGGTCTTGCAAATTTGTCTACTAGTAAGAGAGCAAAATTTCCTTCCTTCTTTCTTTTCATTTTTTTCTTCATTTTTTTTTTTTTTTTTTTTTACTTTTTTTCCTTTAAAATTTCATCTGGCAAAAAATAAAGAAATAAATGAAACTATCACTTTATAAGAATCATTTTCTAGTAATGCAAACAAATTATTTTTTACAAAAAATAAAATAAATAAAATTAGACTTCCTTCCCTTACTATATATATCTTGATTCAGTCAGAATTATTTCCAAAAGCATTTTTGCAAATTAGAGCAGGACAAGCTTTTATGTTTACTGTGCACATCTGTGGTAATGCAACACATATTTGGCAAGCAGTTCATCACCAAGACAGTAGCTATGATTCTAGACGTCAAGAGGTGTCTATAGAACTAGTGGGGCTTCTGCATGTGGAAAAAAAAAAAAAGGTATCCAGTAGGCGTTAAAGTGCTGAATGCTCAGTCTGATCCCTAAGTGGGCACCTGCACTACTAATTTTTAAAGAAAATTCATTCCCCCATAGAATAATTGAAAGACCCAATTATTTTGAAGTGCTTTTCTTTTAAAAATCCTGTTTATTAACAGGAAAATTTATTTATTTGACAGAATTTTAAGTGATATAGGAATACAAGAGGTAAATTAGCAGCACATATAATTTTTTTTTAATTTTATGATCCATTTTGTATGGTCTCAAAGTTGGATGACCTCATTACTAATATTTGTTGTAAAAGTGAAACTTGTTTGCCAACCAATAAACAACTGATTGAGACTTAGAAGATACTGTATGGATGTATGTACTATATGATTAATTGTTCTTTTTAATTTTCTCACCTTTCATTCTTTCTGTTTTCAGTACATAAAGTTTGCTTATCCTCTATGGCCCCAATGAGCCAGACAAAAGAAATCAGTGTCCCTAAATGAATAACCTAAGCACAAAATCATACAGTTTTTGCAGACAAAATGAACAGTAAAATGGAATGGGTATGCTTGTGTAGGCTGAAATAAGATGCATAACTTATTTTTGAGCAGGTTAATATATAGGGTTCTATATGCTTATTATATAAAACAGCTGCAGTCACTATATGCTTATTATAAAAGCCAGCTACTATCAGAGATTTAAGTGCATAGAATTTTGGGGGGGGGGAAAGGGTCATATTTTTTCCTCTGTTGGAAGCTCCATTTTGATGTTAGAAATTTAAATTCACTCAGAATTTGCCTAAAAGCTACAAGAATTGTGGTAAAGAGAATATACATTTTATCAAGATAGCACAAGACATTTTTTTGTGTGTGTGGTAATTTTTTCTTGGTCTCCATTTGGTGGAAATAGCCAAAAAAAAAAAGTTATTTTAAAGAAATTTTCAAGTTCTCCAACTGCTACAGATCCTTTGCTTGTGATGTCCAAACATGGAGCCCCTCCCATAGCACGGCTAGAATGAATTTGCCAAATTATTATTTCTCTCTTAGTATGTGATATCTTGATGTTTTTTTTCCTCTCTCTTTCTTTTTTTTTTTTTTTTTTGTCAAAATCTAACTACCACCCACTGATAAATGAATTTCTTAAGATGAGAAGAAGTAGTTTAGAGTGTAAAAAATACATGAGTTTAAAAATATATGACATGCAATGCACACATACATAAACTCTGCTGGACCTGAATATGTCATAACTTTAATATGCCCTTAAAATATTTTATGCATCATTCCTTTACAGTCACTTGGCACTAGTATTTTTTTAAGTCTATGAATTTTCTCTAAGTTTCCAAAAATTTTAACAGTAATTAGCTTTTCTATACTCTGGCAATATTAGCACCTTGCAGGTGTTTTAGCCTGTCAGATATATGGAATACATTTGGTGATGGAAGAATTCTTTTTAGAATATTTAAGATAACTTCAGAAACACAAATGTGGTCTATAGATTATAAATGCTGCCCTTTTTCTGCCAATCAAACAGTAATCTCTGAAATCAACTCCATCAATAAGAAGTTAGTTTCACAGAATAATGGGGAAACTACCTCAATTCAGCTCACTGATTCTGCCAATTCTGGTTTTTTAGTATTGCTACCTCCCTGCTCATTATTTTTTGTGTTACATTATATGGAAATTTGAAAGAGGTAGTCTTCCCAGCTCTACAGAGACCAAGTTGAAGGAAGATCACTTGAATTTTCTACAAATACAGAAATTGGTGCAGAAGACCATTCAGTAGTATCAGCTACTACCAAGCTCTTGCATCAAGAAGAAGGGGCGAGATTTTTGTAATCTCATATTTTGCAATTGATGTGCTTTCAGGGAGACTAAGATCCCAAAGACTTCACAAGAAGAGATTCTCCCCACTCCCCAAGTTTTATGTGATCACATTGAAAACAAAATGGTTGATAAGGAGTCAATTATGCATATGTTTCAATAGAAATTTATGTATTTCTAATATATATTCATTTAGTCCTGTTTATACTAGCAAGGCTTAAATTCCCAAACTTGATTTTTTTTTCCACTTAGATTTTCATGTAAAATTATTGGTTAATATAAAATTTTCATTTTTTTTTTTAATCTAAACATCACCTACCTACAAATCCATTTTTTAAAATCACTCTTTTGCCCACTCCATTCCCCACCTCAAGTATTCCATTGTACACATGACCTACTTATTTGCAAGTTTTGGTTATGGTTTTCTAATTTTTCATCATGAAGAAAATTTCCATCAGACAGACCATACACAGCACATTATTTGGTCAGCTGGAAGTCAATGAAATAAACTAATTTTTTCTTTCCTGCCAAAATATTAATATGGGATTTCATACTTCTTGATTTTTTTCCTTTGAAGTTGAATTCACATCATACCTTTTTTCAGAAAACTAGTTAATAGGCCTCATGTTTAAATTATTCAAAACCTGAAAGATTGTTATGTGTCTATATCCCTAATTGATAATGTGGAGAAATCTAAATTTTGTGAAAGAGAAATAGGTTGGAATTCCAAGTAAATTTATGGAAAATCCCTTTTAGTTTCTGCTCTATTAATAATTAGAATATTGGAGTTAATGGTAAATTACTAAATAAAGCGATCATAGTGACCAAAAGGAACCACTATAAGAACAATTAATGTCATGTAAAAAGAAAGTAAAAAAATGTACTGATCAGGTACATTAATGGAAATTCCTGGGAATATTCACAATTGCTATAAATCAATTCAAATGTAATTAATGATTTATAATTTAAAAAATCCTATTAATCTAAAAACATTGAACTGTTGATAAAAAGATGTTTAAGATTTAATTTTTAAACATTTTTAATATAAATTTAATTAGTATGACAATTTTTTTATGATAATGAAGATCAGCTTATAAAGAATTAGTGAAAAAATCAATAAGCATCATTGTAGATAGTATCTTTAGTTTTATATCCACACATGTTCAAACTGGTTTGCTTAAAGAAAGATGCTAAAATTTTTAAAGACTGACTTTATTCTTTATCTTGGGGACCAAAATAGAGAGAAAAAACTCTCTCTGGATCATCTACCAATCCAAACTAATTGAGAGTCATCTCCTACTATTGAGATAATACTTTTCAGTCGTCCATCAGTACTGTAGCAAAATGCTGCTCCTTGGAATATTTTTGAAAAACATGACAGGACTACAATGGTTGTCAATTCATGTTAAGGGAGAGAGACAGTGGAACCCAGACTCTAATTTGATTTTGAACAATCTGAAAATATTACCATAATTTTTTTCTTTTCTAACAAAAATATTTGAAATAATGTAACAATATGTGTGAAATTCCAATTATATTGTTGTACCAGGGTTGTAGGATTTAGTTAGCTCATTTTTAGTAATTTATAATTACACTGTAATGCATAAAAAATCGCTCTGCAGTCTTAAGTGATATTTTATATCTTATGATAGATTTTGGCACATCAATAAATTAGAAATGTGGAAGCACAAAAGTGAAGAATCAACACTGCAGAATAGCTTATAGAAGCATTTTTCTGCAAATCAATTCCATATGAGAAGCTTCTCTGAGCTCATAAAATAGACTCACTGCATCCCAACCATAAATTAAAATTTGTAATCAGCAAATATGTCCTTAAACTATCTGGGAAGTATTGCTAATTACTCAAATTCTTATTTGTAGACTAGCAGGAAAAAAAGAAAATATTGGTAGCTTCTTGTTTCCTGTGAAGGCCGTAAGGGAAAACTTTTGTGTTTATTAATTAACTATGATTATTTCCTCTGTGCTCTGAAAGAGAATCAATCTTTAATTTTCATGTGCACATATATTTACACACTCTATTCCCTTTATTTATAGTTTTCAGAGAAAATAGATTGTTTATAATACTGCAAACTTTGTGATTTTGTTCCATTAGAACAAGTAGTTATGGTTTTGCATATTCTCATTTTAAATAAAGTTATTGTTACTGTTTTTTTTTAAAGTAAGCACTTCTTTAACATATAGCAACTTTAAGTTACTACTCAAATGTATTGATTTCAACTCTATTTTGATGTCTCTTTCAATTAATAGTGCATCAAGTACATTTTTCTCATTTGTTTGTTCATATCCCTTTAGAGTGTTTCAAAGATAAATGAAACTGATTTTTAAGAAGTCATGTGAA